TGCCCCACCCGGGACTAGAACCTCGGTGGGGCCGGCCCCCCAAAGGCGGAGGAATTAGCCTTAGTGAGTCGCGGGTCCCGGCCCCCATTCCAGCTTTTCTGATAAAGGGCTCTAAGAAAGCAGTGGATGATGACCCAAGTACTTGAGCCCTGTCACTCAAATGGGATACAGGATGGAGTTCCTGGCTCCTGGCTGCAGCATGGCCTAGTCCTGGCTGTTGTGGCTGTTGGGAAGCGAATCAGTGGATGGAAGATGTTTCATGTTGTCTCTTCCTCTGTTGCTCTGTCTTTCAAGTAAATAAATCTTTAAAAAAACTAAAAGAAATATACAACTTTCATCAAACCATTTTGAATTAAAAATGTGATTTTTACTAACATAAAATCTTTCCCCTCGCCACCTTAAATCAGCTTATTGTTATTTACATATTAACTTTATAATGTATTGCTGAATTTTGTACTATGCTATAGTTAATTCTCTGCTGTCAGTATGAGACACATAAGATTTATTAAGATACTTTGTTCTTTATTGGGTTATCTCTTATGTGCCCTAAAGAATACTTCCTTTAAAAATATAAGGAAAATGAAATTATATGGTAGTGAAATTGATTTTTGCCCTGCATAAGTTGCTTTAATATTGGTTCTTTTAATTTTATTCTTAAGGTAGGGCTACTTATCTCTGTTATTTTTTTTAAAAGTTTCACCATCTGGTTTTTAAACAAAATGTCCTCTATTGAAACTTATGATGACATTTATTCATCCCCTCCATGCTGGAGCATGTTCTGTATAATTTTTTTCATTTACTTTCTGTTCGTATTAGAGAAAAACTGAATTCTGGGAATGTGTCTTCAAAATGACAGCAATTTTAAGAATTTTCTTTATCTCATTGCCTAGAGGCATTAACTTCTTTGAACCCTGTTATAGAGGGAGTTTTATAGGTTGATTATGTAGGAGCTTCTGCTGCTTTCATAAGGGATAATTCTGCACTTGTTTTTTCTTTTTACTTTCATGTAAAACATACCATAAAGCAGTGTGGCTTTTATTATTTTAACATGAATTTTACATTTTTGAAATGATAGACAATTGAAAGTATTGGAAGATGTTTAAGGGAATGTGCTGTATAATATTGGGGTTAAGAAAAGTTACTAAAATCCTAATTGTTTTCTCATTAGTTTTATGATTTTATATTAATATCTTCTGTATGGTATTGCATTAAAATGATAATGTCTCTATTTTATTTTTGTTTACCAGTTTGTATTTCTAGACTTCTGTTTAGCATGTATTTTAAAATAATACAACACATGCAGATTTATCCAAATCTAAGATGGGATGATGTTAGACTTTTAACATTTCAAACCTTTCATGCTAGTTAAGTTTCTTTTCATTTTAAAAATCAAGTAGACCATAAATTACTGTTTCTCGGATCTGCCTCACGTTTAACTCAACAACTCAGCTCACCTGTAAATCAGTAATCTTTAAGATGTTTTATATTTAATATTAGTTTAATCTCTGGAATTCCGTTTTGTTATCACATAGTGGATTGGTAATTCTGATTGTCACTGTTGAGTCATACAGCTTTAAATTGGTCTTAGGTCACACAAATCTAAAATGACATTTAGGTAAAATGATCTTTAAATGTGCCTTTGAAGTAGATGCCAGTGATTTTTTAATTCTGTGACCTAGGTTCACTGTCAAGGTTCTCATATTTTTCCATCAGAAATAAATGATAGAGGAGGCCTTCACCATGGCATAGTAGGTTAAGCCTCAGCCTGCCATGCTGATTCGCGTTCTGGCTGCTCCTCTTCTGGTAGAGCTCTCTGCTAATGGCCTGGGGAAGCAGCAGAGGATAGCCCAGTCCTTGGGCCCCTGTACCCACATGGGAGACCCAGAAAAAGCTCCTGGCTCCTGGCTCCTGGCTTCTGCCTCCTGGCTTCTGGCTTTGGATTACCCCAGCTTTGGCCTTTGTAGCTGTTTGGGGAGTAAACCAGGGGATGGAAGACCTCTCTCTCTGTGTCTCTCCTTCTCTCTGTCTGTAACTCTGCCTCTCAAATAAATAAATAAATCTTTAAAAATAAATAAATAGATGGTAGAAATGTTTCTAAATAAAAGGCACTATATTACAAAAATGGTAAAATGAAGTTTGAAGCTTCCCTTGAAATTAATTCACAACTAAAAAGTAAAATTGGCCAATTAATTATAGTGTATAAATACTATATATCGAATTTCAGAAGTGTCCTGGGAAAAGAGGACAGTTAAGTTTCTCAAAAACAAACAACACTAAAAAAAAGAAAAAACCCACAAACCAGTGAACTTTTACCTAGGAAGAATTATTCCATTAAACATTCAGCTCTGCATTATGGGGGAGTGGATTAAGATGGCAGAGTAAGGAGAGAGCTTGCTGCTGGAGTCTAGGAGAAGATAGTTTAACAAAAGAAGAAAGAGTGCAGTCTCAGGGAAGAGTTAGGGAAAAAAGAGCAGAGGAACCTCTAAGGAGGAATGCAGTGGACTACATGGAGGGCAATCACACGTACAGCTTTGGTACCCACCAGCCAAGAGCCTTGGCACCAGCGTTGGAGAGCAAGGTGAGACCAGACTGCAGCAGCCCAAGCCACTGGTGACAAAGCTGCGGGGGGAGCCTAGAGAGAATCTGGCTTGTATCCCCATGGGGGATACTGTACCCACCAAACTAGAGTAGAAAAAATGAAGGGTGTTCATATTTTTTCTCTCTCCAGTCATCCTGCAAAGGAGTCCTATAACAAGGTAACAGAGAGAAGGTGCCATTTTGGTCATATGTAACAGCTGTGCTAGCTTGTATCTGCAACCAGCTAAGTGCAGACTCCTGAGTCTGGTAGAGAGAACAGACAAGGGGCTGAATGCTTATGACTGTGGGAGGTTTGTGTGCCAGGACTGTGAAAACACACTGAGGCTGTGTGGGAGGACTCAGGGTGTGGCTGGGACACTGTGGGAGGCTCCACATGATCAGGGCTCCTTGGTTACCTGGCAAGAGACATTTCTGGGGTTGTTCAAAACAATTGAAAGAGAAGAAATCTTCCCAAATTCTTTCTGTAAAGCCAGCATCACCTTAATTCCTAGACCTGAAAAATATACAACAAAGGGGATTACAGCCCAATTTCTCTGGTGAACATAGATGTAAAAATCCTCAACAAAATTCTGGCCAATCAAATCCAACAACACATCAGAAAGATCATTCACCCGGACCACATAAGATTTATCCCTAGTATGCCAGGATGATTCCACAGTCACAAATCAATCAATGTGATACATCACATTAACAAACTGAAGAACAAAAACCATATGATTATCTCAATAGATGCAGAGAAAGCATTTGATAAAATACAACACCCTTTCACGATGCAAACTCTAAGCAACTGGTTTCAGAAGGAACATTCCTCAACACAGTCAAGGCAATTTATATGACAAACCCACAGCCAGCATCCTATTGAATGGCAAAAAGTTGGAAGCATTCAGTTGAGATCTGGAACCAGACAAGGATGCCCACTCTTGCCTTTGCTATTCAATAGAGCCCGGAAGTTTTTGCTAGAGCTGTTAGACAAGAAAAATAAATAAAAGGGATTTGAATTGGGAATGAGGAAGTCAAAGTATCCCTAATTGCAGATGTCATGATTCTATATATAGGGGATCCAAAAAAACTCCATCAAGAGACAATTGGAGGCTGGCACCGCGGCTCACTAGGCTAATCCTCCACCTGGCGGCGCCAGAACACCGGGTTCTAGTCCCGGTCGGGGCGCCGGATTCTGTCCCGGTTGCCCCTCTTCCAGGCCAGCTCTCTGCTGTGGCCAGGGAGTGCAGTGGAGGATGGCCCAAGTCCTCAGGCCCTGCACCACATGGGAGACCAGGAAAAGCACCTGGCTCCTGCCTTCGGATCAGCGTGATGCACCAGCCACAGCACGCTGGCCACAGCGGCCATTAGGGGGTGAACCAATGGAAGGAAGACCTTTCTCTCTGTCTCTCTCTCACTGTCCACTCTGCTTGTCAAAAAAAAAAAAAGAGAGAGAGAGAGAGAGACAATTGGAACTCATAGAAGAGGTTGGTAAAGTAGCAGGATATAAAATCAATACACAGAAATCAACAGCTGTTGTATACACAGTCAATGCCATGGCTGAAAAAGAACTTCTAAGATCAATCTCATTCACAATAGCTACAATAGCTCAAGCAATCTTAGACAACAAAAACAAAGCCAGAGGCATCACAATACCAGATTTCAAGCCATGGTACAAGGCAGTTATAATCAAAACAGCCTGGTACTGGTACAAAAACAGATGGTTGACTAATGGAGCAGAATAGAAACACCAGAAATCAGTCCACACATCTACAAGCAACTTATATTTGACCATGAAGCTAAAACCAATTCCTGGATCAAGGACAGAATCTTTTAACAACTAGTGGTGGGAAAACTGGATTTCCACATGCAGGAGTATGAAGCAGGACAAAGGACTTAAGCAGACATTTTTCAAAAGAGGAAATACAAATGACCAGGAGGCACATGAAAAAATGTTCAGGATCACTAGCCATCAGGAAGACACAAATTAAAACCACAATGAGGTTTCACCTCATCCCAGTTTGAATGGCTTTCATACAGAAATCAATAAACAACAAATGCTGGCGAGGATGTGGGGAAAAGGGTACTCTAATCCACTGTTGGTGGGAATGATAAACTGGTAAAATCACGATGTAAA